AGGCATAAGCATTGAAGATTATAGCTTTGGATTAAGATTCCAATTCTGGGGAAGAGACACAGAGATTAAGAGCAATGAGAGTGCAGAGAGATTGAGATTAAGCTCTTGGTTTGGTAGGTTTATATCATGGAACGAAGAAGATTTTGTATATCATAACTTCATAAGCATCTCTGCATTTGTTGCAACTTGCATGTTACCCCTACTTCGGAGGTTTGAATCATGTCTTTAACCGGTTGGCTCCAAATTATGAGTCGAATATTCGGAATTTCGATACGATTATGAGTCGAGCTTTGATGGTCCAACTAAGAAAAAATAATCAGAGTAATGCCAACATTAACATCGAAAACCATATAAAGAGACAAAGAAGTGAACGTAAGAGCATCATTAACAATGATACAATGTGGGTATCATTAAATATAAAATTATTAAAATTTGAGTAAAAAGAAGAAAGAGTGTTTTTTTTAAATAATGGGGTGTATTAAAATATAAAATTAATAAAATTTGAGTAAAGAGAAGAGATAGTGGATATTTTTGGAGAGAGAGTGTCAAAAGTATCAAATAGTTGATACTTTTGAAGAGAGAAATAGTGTGTTTTTAATAATTTTATATTTAAAGAGAGTATAAAATTAATAAAAATTGAGTAAAAGGATAAAAGAGAAGGTATAAAGTTAAGTAAAAGGAAGAGAAAATGTGTTTTTAATAATTTTATATTTAATGATATCCACGTTGTATTATGGATAATGATGGCTTAACAATGCAACCCCATTTGGTTTCTCTACTAAAAAGAATAACAAAGATAATAAGATTAGTTATTTACTGTCTTATTTAAACAAATGAAATTTCCTTATTTGCTGTCGAAAGATTAGTTAATTTAATGCATCTCCACAAAGTCGATAAGCGACGATGCGGATAATATAAATTTATACTCGTTAGGTCTCTTAAACAATTTTTATTATTAGATTTAATGTTTGAGACACTTGATTCGTCTCGGCCACATGAGACGTTTCAACCTTGGGAAATCTATTTTTTTTTATTTTTTATTTTAATTATATGAGACTTTTTATAGTCTCACCGATAAAGACGTTCTAAGATTTGAAATGATTCGATCGTATAATCATATATGATGCGTGAAGTGAGAAAAAAATTGTCTCGATTAACGAGAGAAGGAATTAAGACCATACATTTCACATACCTCGCCATGTTATTCCCACCGATGTTGGAATAGTGGAATTAGGGAATCTAGTTTCTGATTCGCCATAATTACAAAAATCAGATCATAAATAAAAATTAGTTACATTGTTAATGCAAGCATTAAATAGTTTCATCATCAGCTTCAGCTACATGCCAGCTCTTTGCACGCCATTTATGAGTCACTCATAAGTCTTTTTCTTTTCTTTGAATGGGCAAATCTTATTCTGATTTACATCATGTACTAATAGAGAGTAAACGCATTCA